ATATGTGTGTATGTATGTACTTAGAAAACATTAAGTTTATATACCCTTCCTTGTTACTCTTCCTTCGATAAAATTGCTCGACTTTGTTATAGGGTCTCTAATTCACCGGGAAAAAGAAATCCCAGTGCACGCGTACCATAAACTTATCACGGTATCGTAGTGTCAACGATACGCGCCGCGACGCTCGTCGGCCGCGCGATCGAAGCGGAAGCGCGCAGACGCGCTCGCGGACATTGAGCTTTTTTTTTCTTGACGAAGCGTTTTTTTTTTCGCTTCGTTTGATGAAATCTGCTTTCGTTCTAGAGATTCTTCTCGAACAGCTTCATGTTATAATAATGATTACGAGTTTGCGCCGTGAGGCTTTTAAAAGTTTCTTTACGGAAAGAACGGTTTTATCTAAAGATAATAATAATTAATAATAAGCCGAAATATCTAAAGATTAACCAGTTCCAGATTAAAAATAATTTTGTTGGATCATGAAAATAAATTATGTAGGACGCTCAAATTGATCGCTAGAATGTCAACACTTTGGAACTTTGCTCATGTTTGAGATTACTCTGTAATTTTGATGGTCCAATAAAATTATTTTTAGATCTGTAAGATCTAATTTTTAGATACTTTAACACAATCGTTCTTTCCATGATATCCAATGCGTTAAAGGAAGGATTCCGAAAGTTTAAATTAGATTCGAATCGGCGAGACCCTTATTCGCAACTTTGCGGAATGGTCATTATTATCGGAAATAGATTTTCGGATAAACGGAGAAGGCACTAAAAGGTCCTATTATCTTTGCTCGATACGTGTAATTTTCTCCTCGAATGAACTAGAATCATTCGCGCAAAGTAAAGATTCTCCATCGTTCAGACCGAGCGATAAAAAACGTTTCCACTTGAAAAAATTATGAAGAATATCCTATACACTTAAATTCATAATGTCAAATTATATCTATAATTTGAGAATTATTTTTAGTCATTTCTATAATAAACTTCTACTCAATATGTCGTTAATTTAACTAAAATAATTTATCTCAAGAAAGTGTATAGACATTAAATTTGATTCAAATTCAGTTTATTATTTACTAAGAACCGATTGTTCTATCTTGGGATAAACTATGTGTAATTTATCTACTGGATAAATAAAAGAGTAAAAGAGTAAGAACATAAGAGAATAAGAGAATAAAATAGTGTGCTTGAAGTTTAACGAAAGAAGGAACAACCCAGCCTAGGTATATGATAATAAGGGCATCGTTTACATTGAAATTAACTACAGAAATGGATTGATTTACATTTCTACACATGGAAGTTAAAAATAACAAAATGGTATTGAATTCAATCGGGTCACCATTGCTCCTTTGATTGCTATTACGTCTATTATAAACGTCTTTAAGATGTCTTTCGAGCACCTATCAGGTTTGATCAACTTGAACTGGTTACATTAGCGCGATTATCGGCGCAGAGGGGGGAGGGGATTTGGTATCTCCCCGCGAATCAACTTGTGGCTTCGCGCCACCGACTCGGTACTGTAGAGAGACAGACGGAGACGGATAAAGGAGGCACTCGGATAAGAAGAGGAGAGCGCGAATAGGCAACGCGGCAAGCAGGCGTGAAAGTTGGCGGCTTCTCCAACACGCATGCCTGACGCCGTCGCGGTCGTCGTCATCGTCGTCGCCGTCGACGTCCGCCTTCATATCGACGAGCCGTGCGAGTCGGTCGCGACGGTGCCAGAGCCAGTGGCCCTACGACCGTCGGAACAAACCCCTCCGCGTCGTGCCGACGACGACGACGAGGATGCGCAGGGGTGATGGTTAGAGGAGGAGGAGGAGGAGGAGGAGGAGGAGGAGGAGATAATGGACAACGAGAAGGGAAAATACAACCGGCAGTGGTGAAACTGGAGGCGCGGCCGACCACCGAGGCGCATCCGCTCACCTCATTCGGGGCGTCATTCGGGGAGGGGGACAAGAGGTCTGCGTGACCTGGGCCCACCACGTGTCTCTTGCTCTGACGTCGCGCTTGGCGATACGCCTGACGCGCGTCCGCAACACGATCACCTGCTTCGACCTCTTGCACACCGAGCGTCGCGATGTCATTCGCGAATAATTAAAGCTACTGTCCGCGGAAGGAGGGAAGATTATCGGTGGGGAAGAGAGAAGTACGCTGATCGCAACACGCGAGATGTGAACTCGTGGGAATTCGGGTAGCAACGAGATCGGCGTCGTCAGGGAGCGGTCAGACGCGCCTCGGTTTTTCGATATACCGTGGTTCCATACGCGGAAGAAACGAGAAACGGGAAGTTGCGGTCGTGGCACTGTCGTGACATGCCCGAGAGATATCCGCGGGTGGAAGCGCGAGACGGAGCATAGGAAGTGCGTTGCAGCACGCGTGCGGTTTCATTGTCTTCCGTTATCCCGCGATAACGCGAGAGGAGAGGAGAAAAGCGTGTCCGCGCGGAACGACGGTGAACGCGGTGATTTATTTCGGCGCGCGGTAATTTCGGGACTGCGAGAGCGAGCACGAGGAGGCAGCAGACTCCGGAGGAGGGGATGGTCGGACGGCACTCGCGCCGCGAGTAAAAGAGAGGCCGCGGGATAGAGCGAGAGTAAAGCCCGCCGCTTGCGTTGCGACGCCGGTTGCGCGGTTGCGTCAGTGGTGCACGCTGCGAGAAAACGGTGCGTCGCGTTCGCGAGCTGGATATCGTTCGTAATAAAGCACGATCGCGAATGTTAGAATGATCGTAGCGTAAAGACGTAGCGTAAACAACGGATATTCTGCGGGTTTCGGCTCAGATATCCGGCGTGTATGACGTTTGTGTATGCGCGTGTGTATACGTGTGTTCTAACGGGACGGAGTAAAAGTACGCGCTCCGATTTTCGAAGGCGCGACTCCAAACGAATGTGAAAGAGTTGGCTATGCGAGAGAGTTGTATCTCGTAGGTAGACGGATTAAATTATTGAAATTGATCGTGACGTTGTTGCCTTTATCATTGACGTCGGAGGTTTATCGCTCAGCGAAGAAGAGAGATTGCACAGAGCGAACTGCTTTCTGATTTATCCCACAACGTCGTGGGATAAATATAATGCCTTAGAATATATTGCTGCGTATATGTACAAGTGACAAAACTCGTCTTCGAATTACTAGTGGCCAATTACTAGTGACGCGAAAACGGCTCCAAGTTGTACAAATTGAAGAGATAAGAAAATATTTCACGGATCAGTAGATGTATCATCAGTAGTGTTATTCGCTCCATGATTATATAATAGATAACGAAATACAGAACACACACGTTAATTAAATACAGTGCAATAATGAAAATGGA